GGGAAAGTTTATAGTACATTTTGTACAAAAAAATGTACGGTACATACAAAATCAATGGTTAACTTTTTATAGTTATGAGCTAAAATCATATTTCTTCATAACTATAATCAAATTGATCATAACTTAGTTATACCTACATCTCATAACCAACACCATTTTGCTCATAACTAATATCACATATTTCATAACCACATCTCATAATCAACACCATTTTGTTCATAACTAATATCACATGTTTCATAATCATAATCACATATCTCATAACCAACACCACTTTGATCATAACAAATATCACATATCTCATAACTATTGATCACATATTTCATAACTACTATCCACATACACCATAACCACATCTTATAACCAATTCCTTTGAGTCAAAACCAACATCACATATCTCATAACCACTAGTCACATATCTCGTAACCAACACCTTTTTGTCATAACTAATATCACATATCTCATAACCACTAATCACATATCTCATAATTATTACCCACATATATCATAACCACATCTCATAACCAATCCCTTTGAGTCATAACCAACATCACATATCTCATAACCACTAGTCACATATCATGTAACCAACACCTTTTTGTTATAACCAATATCACATATCTCATAACTACTAATCACATATCTTATAATTAACACCTTTTTGCTCATAACCACATCACTTTGATCATAACCAACATCACATATCTCATAACTAGTCACATATCTAATAACCAACATCACATATCTCACAACCACTAGTCACATAACCAATATCTCATAACTCATAACCATTAATACATATAGCATAACCACACCCTTTGACACCACTTTGCTCATAACCATTACCCACATATCTCATAACCACTAACACATATATATAGCATAACCAAACACTCTTTGCCACCACTTTACTCATAAGTATTACCCACATATCTCATAACCACTCATAACCATTACCTACGTATCTCATAACCACTAACACATATAGTATAACCAAATACCCTTTGACACCACTTTGCTCATAACCATTACCCACATATCTCATAACCACTACCCACAAATGTCATAACTACTAACACATATAGCATAACCAAACACCATTTGACACCATTTTGCTTATAACCATTACTCACATATCTCATAACCATTCATAACCATTACCTACATATCTCATAACCACTAACATATATAGCATAACCAAACACCCTTTGACACCACTTTACTCACAATTATTACCCACATATCTCATAACCACTAACACATATAGCATAACCAAACACCCTTTGACACCACTTTGCTCATAACCATTAGCCACCTATCTCATAACCACTAACACATATAGCATAACCAAACACCCACACCACTTTGCTCATAACAATTACCCACATATCTCATAACCATTAACACATATAGCATAACCAAACACCCTTTGACACCACTTTGCTTATAACAATTACCCACATATCTCATAACCACTAACACATATAGCATACACTACAATAAAAGTGGGCTTATGAGACAGAACTTTTTGCGACGGCACATTTGCCGTTGCAAAAAATGTGACTTTTTGAGACAGCACAACTTGCCGTCGCAAAAAATGTGACCTTTTGAGACGACACAATTTGCCGTCGCAAAAAATGTGCCTTTTTGAGACGGCACAACTTGCCGTCGCAAAAAAAAATATGACTTTTTGAGATGGTACAACTTGCCGTCGCGAAAAATGTGACATTTTGAGACGATACAATTTGCCGTCGCAAAAAATATGACTTTTTGAGACGGCGCAACTTGCCGCCGCAAAAAATGTGCCTTTTTGAGACGGCACAGCTTGCTGTCGCAAAAAAAATATGGCTTTTTTAGACAGTACAACTTGCCGTCGCGAAAAATGTGCCTTTTTGAGACGGCACAACTTGCCGTCGCAAAAAAATGTGACTTTTTGATTAAAATAATAATAATGATTTTTTTTCATTAAAATAAAAATAAAACAAATAAATTTTCAATCTATAACTAAAAAAAAAGATTTTTTTTTTAAATTCATTAACTACAAAAAAAAATATTTTAACAAAAAATAAATTTTTTTGGCGACGGCAACCCCCGTCGCAAAAAAAAAAAAAAAAGTTAAACCACGTTTTGTTGTTTAAATTTCATTTGTGACCGAGGATAAGTGTTCCAGCCCCGTACCCGGCCTGGCCCCCCCCTAATTTTTTTTCCCGTTCCCGTTCCCGTTCCCCTTCTTTTTTTTTTTCTTTTTTTTTCCATTCGCGTTTTGTAATACCTCCATCCCAAACAAAAAATCCTCAATCTCAAACCACCCAGCCCAAAACCAAAAATCCCTAATCTCTTCTTACCCCCCTCTCTATCTCTTTTCACTCATTTTTCATCTTCCTCTCTTTTTTCTCTTTCTCTCTTTCACTCATCACTCTTCTCTGTTTGTCTGTCTGTTTATCTGTCTCTCTTTCTCTCTATGTGTCTCTCACTCATCTATCTCTTCTCTCATCTCTTTTCTCTCTCTGTCTCTTTCGTTCATCTCTCTTCTCTCTATCTCTCTCGTTCATCTCTCTTCTCTCTCTGTTTCTTTTTCTATCTCTCACTCTCTATCTTTTTCTCGCTTTGTTTCTCTCTCTTCTCTTTCTCTCTCTAACTCATCACTCTTATCTGTCTGTCTGTCTCTCTCTTTCTCTCTTTGTCTCTTTGTCTCTCGTTCATCTGTTTTCTCTTTATCTCTCTCATCTGTCTTCTCTCTCTGCCTCTCTCACTCATCTCTCTCTTTATCTCTCTTCTCTCTATCTCTCTCATCTCTTTTCTCTCTATGTCTCTCTCGCTCATTTCTATATATGTCTCTCTCTCGCTCGTTTTTCTTCTCTCTCTATGTCTTTCTCTCGTTCTTCTCTTTTTGTTCTCTTTCTCTCTCTTTTTGTCTATCTCTCGCTCATCTCTTGTTTCTCTCTCTTTCTGTCACTCTCTCTCTTTCTCTCTCTTTCTGTCTCTGTCTCTCACTCTCTTTCACTCATCACTCTTTTTTCTCTCTATCTGCCTGTCTATTTGTCTTCCCCTCATTATGTTCGCCTTGCTTACTCCGCTCTCCCTTCTTTTTTATTTACCAAGCTATCTTCGATTTATCGAGACACTACAAGAAAATGCACTTTTAGTGACCACTTTGTCTTTCTATCGCTCATCATTCTGTCTCTATCTCTATCTCTATCTCTCTTCTCTATCTGTCTCTCACTCATTTCTCTCTCACCACCCATCTCCTCTACCACCTTCACCACTACTGCAAATGACATTCCACTACCACAACTACTACCACTGTTGCCACTCCGCCTCTACGACTATCATTACTACCACCATCACCGTCACTTCACTACCACCATTACTACTACTATTACCTCTCATCTATCACCGCTACTCTATCTCCTCTACCACTACCACAACTTCACCACTAATCTCATTCGCTATCACCACCACCGCCACTATCACCTCTTATCCACCACCTTCACCATTACTGCCGCTCCCTATCCTCTACCACAAAAAATTAGTTCATGATTTTTAGTAACCCCCAATCTCCCCCCCTCGGCCCGCCATTTTTTTTTCCATTCCCGCTCGGGTTACCAAAAACCCCTAATCCTGTCTCTTTGTCTCTGTCTCTCTTCTCTTTCTCTCTCTTACTCATCACTCTTCTCTGTCTGTCTGTCTGTCTCTTTCTCTCTATGTCTCTGTCGCTTTTCTCTTTCTCTCTCTCACTCATCACTCTTCTCTGTCTGTCTGTTTGTCTCTCTCTTTCTCTCTGTGTCTCTCGTCCATCTCTTTTCTTTCTCTTCTCTTTATCTCTCTCTGTCTTTCTCTCGTTTATATCTTTTCGCTCTTTTTTCTCTATTTTTATTTATCTATCTCTTTTCACCCATTTTTTCATCTTCATCTCTCACTTCTCTTTCTCTCTATTACTCATCACTCTTCTCTCTCTGTCTGTCTGTCTATCTGACTCCCTCCCTCTCTCTCTCTGTGTCTCTCACTCATCTATCTCTTCTCTCATATCTTTTCTCCCTCTATCTCTTTCGCTTATCTTTCTTCTCTCTATCTCTCCCGCTCATCTCTCTTCTCTCTTTGTCTCTCTCGCTCATCTTTCTTCTCTCTTTCTGTCTCGTTCATCTCTTTTATTTCTCTGTCTCTTTTTCTGTGTCCCACTCTCTACCTCTCTCTCTGTCTCTTTCTCACTCATCACTCTTCTCTGTCTGTTTGTCTGTCTTTGTCTCTGTCTCTTTCTCTCTTCTCTCTTCTCTTTATCTCTCTTCTCTTCATCTCTCTCATTTCTCTATCTCTCTTGCTTATCTCTCTTCTCTCTATCTCTGTCTCTCTCATTCATCTTTCTTCTCTCTCTGTCTCTGTCTTTTTCTATGTCTTTCTCTCGATCATCTCTTTTCGCTCCCTTTATCTCTCTCTTTGTCTATCTCTCGCTCATCTCTTATTTCTCTCTCTTTTTCTGTCTGTCTGTTTGTCTCTATCTCTTTCTCTCTCTATATCTCTTTCTCTCTCTGTCTCTATTACCTCTAATCTCCTTTGCCATCACCATCACCACCACCATCACCTCTTATCCACCACATTTACTGTTATTGCTGCTCCCTCTTCTCTACCACAAAAAATTAGCTCTTGATTTTTAATAACAAAAAAAAATGGGTCACAAAAAAATATTTTTCATTGACCATAAAAAATTAATTTTATTTTAACATAAAATATTTTTTATTAAAATATTACCTCTACTTTTACAAAATAAAAAAAAATTGTTAAAATAAAAATAAAACAAATTTTCCTCTTTTTTTCACTGACTCACTGGATGGCCCGCCCAAATTTTCCTCTTAATTTCCCCCATTTTTTTTCCCTCTGCCTTTCCCTGCCCTTTTTTTCATTTCCTTTCAGTTTTGTAGAGCCCTTAATTTCGCGACACTGTTTCAAAACAGTGAGCAAACCTAATCTGAGAGAGAGAAGATAGAGGGTTTGAAGAGAGACTGGGGTTGAAGGGGAAGGGTTTCAATCGGCGGCAAGACTGGTTCAGCTTTCGTTTCTCTCATAAAAGGAGTCTACCTAATAGCCTTGGACTCTTCGTTTCTCTCATACTCCTCACCTCTCCCACAAAATCCCATTTTTTTCTCAGCTTTCTGGGTCCGATTTTTATCTCTTTTTCCCCTTATTATTATTATTATTATTTTGGGTGTTATATATGATTTATACTGGTATTTGTATATGCAGATCCAATCTTAATTTGGCTTTTTATGATGTGGGCTTGATGTAGATTTTGAGCGTACCCAGAAATGGAGTAGTTTGGATCCCTAGATGAGCAACACCTCTCATGGGTCGGAAGATGAGTCTTTGATGGAGATGGGATCTGGAAGTTTTGGGTAATTCTTTAATTTTTTTAATTTTTTTTTACATATTTACAATTTCTAACCCATTTGTTTGTTTAGATTCTCTCACCTTTTTTTTTTGGTTAAAATTTGGAGATAATATATATTTGTGTATATATAATTGTCAGGTGCTCACATTACAGAAGGAGATGCAAGATCAGAGCACCTTGTTGTGATGAGATATTTGATTGCAGGCATTGCCATAATGAATCCAAGGTCTTTTAATTTTTAATTTTTAATTTTAAAAAGTTTTTTCAAGTAATATTACTGCTACTGCTAATGTTGTTAGTTTTAGTTTGTTTTTGTCCTGCCAAAAAAAAAAAAAGAAGTAATTTCATGGTATTTTTTAACATAATTTGCTAGAAATTGATCATCTCAATTGGCATGAAATTCATGCTGTTAGTTTTAGTTTCTTTATGTATTTAAAACCAAAACTAAAACATAAAAAAATAAAAAATAAAAATTGATTTGGTATTTTCAAACAGAATTCGCTTGAAGTTAATCCAATATACAAGAAAATGAAAGGAAAAGAGAAAGAGAAAAAGGAATTTCTAAATCTAAATAGAACTATTTAGAAAGTTTACCTCAAATGTCTATCACTTGTAAGAGCTGTATAATATATTTCTCTCACTGTTAACACTTTAGGTAGGTCTTCGTTCTTTGGTTTGCAACTTTTTAGTTTCAAATATTTTGTCTACTACAAGAACTTCAAGCTTCAGTGGACGTGGGTGGGCTTATCAATGTCATAATATACTAAACAAGTAGATATTTGTGAAGCAAGTTGACAAAAACGAAAGAAGTTCTTATTCATCTTAATGAACCTTTCTAACATTTTTTTAATTTTGATAAAAAATGAACATTTTAACAACATTAATTTCTTAAATGTTCATTTATCTTTTGCACCAATGCTAACAAAAATTAAACCATTCATGTGTTGTGTATCATATCATTTTATCATATGCATCATATTTGCACCTTAAGATACATTCAATATAAGATTTACCCTTGGCCAGTTCTGCCTGTAGGGCCAGGAGCTGGTTTGGGGAATCATAGAGCCTATGGAATCCCAACTGGCTCATGGGTTCCCGCCCCAGCATGTATTAGTGATACATATCAATTTACCTCTAAATGGATTGGGTCGTGAATTATAAGATACTGACAAGACTTGTACTAATAGACATGAGAGACATGCTTATAATGTGAAATATGAATTTTCTTTTTTTCTTTTGAAGATGTCATTCAAAGGATACCTAACTTCTTGATGGTTTTGAATACTTTTAACAGTTTAAAAAAATAAAGGATGCTATTGAATCGCACAACACTGCTCGTTGCAGCATTGGTCCAACTAAGGGTGTTGGAGATCTTAACCTTGAAGCTTTATCTGCTCCACAGAAGATATGAAATGAGAAGATTTTTATTTTGATTCAGGCTTCTGCCTATAATTTGCATCCCCCCATGTTTGTGGCCATCAAAAGTGATGTCTGATATATTATTTTGTAAGTTTTCATTTTTCTTTGTGAACAAAGTAGTAACTAGACGAGGTTACACTACTGCTGCATTCTTTGTTGTCGTCGTTCTACCTGTGATGTAGAATTCTTCTACTTTCAGAATTCCCATGAAAATGAAATTCCACCAGGCTGATATAGCATAATCAAACAGCCTTTGACACCACTTTGCTCATAACCAACATCACATATCTTATAATCATTAATCAAATAACTCATAATCATTAATCAAATATCTCATAACCATTACCCACATATCTCATAACTAACATCACATATATCATAACTACTAATCACATATCTCATAACACCCTTTGGCT